ACCTACAAATGAGGCAAACAAGATGAAAGTAAGTCGAAGACTGTTGTAAGGAAAATACATGAGTAAATCATAAAACAAAAAAAAAATGAGTCTTAGAACTTGCAAATGAGGTCAAACAAGAAAAGAAAAGGAATATATTAATGTGAGCAGTAAAACATGTTTTATAAAAAAAATACACACATACGAGCACGAAGCATGTATCAACAATAAAGATTAGAAAAAAAAAAAAAAAAAAAAAAGAAAAAAAAAAAAAAAAAAAAAGAAAAAAAAAAAAACCACAAAGGGCTAAGATACTCATAGACCATGCTCTTATAGCCTCAACACCCTCATATCTAAGGTCATCTCCTCAGAAAGAGCAAATATATCTATGATGTTGTTTGTTTTTCGAAACTAAAACATATGTCGTTTGCAGACCAAATTTACAACCTTCTGCAGTAGAAGAGGTGAACTAAACGTCTGAAACTGCAATAAAAAATATGTTTATATTTTAATGTCAGCGGGCTGCTGACATAAATTGAAATTAACCATACAATAGTTAAAAATAATTCTAAATCATAAATTTATTTAGTTTTAATCATATTTAAATTGAATATAAAGATCATTATGATGATATGATTTTTAAAGACGTTTATATAAAATAATTAAACATACTAATTGCTAAATAACAATAAATAAAATTGTTAGTTTAACGAAAAACATATTCATTTTGTTAAATTTTCCAAAACTATGATTATTTCTTCGATTAGCTTCAATAGATTTAGTAATTTTGTTGATTAACTTTATAATTTATTAATATTTTGTTATACACAATATAACACAAAAAGTATTTATATTAAATTTACCAAATGGTTTAAAATTATGTAAAGTATACCTGAATTGTTTATAATATCCTTCATAATATTATTAAAATAATAAACACGTTGAAAAAATTAAAACAAATTTATGTTGAATAATATAATTTAAAGTAAGGAGGGAAGTGGTTTGAAGATGATGGTCCAGTGTTGCGCCATGCAATAGTTTTTAAGTAAAAAGTATTTTAAAAACAAATAGCTACAAAGAGTCAATTGATGCGTGTGTTCTGGGCGATGCAACCAGAAGTGGTCAAAAGCGATTTAAAAAAAAAAAAAAGAACAAACAACCCTATGTTTAGCTTCATGGTATCCTCCCACATCCCCAGAGGACGTCATATTCTCCTCTTACCATCAATCATCATTGTCTCTACCCTCTTCACCATCATTGATGGTAGCCTCTTTCAGACGTGTCCATGTCATTGCATTCAACTTTCCTTTAAATTTTTAGTAATGCTTACCACTCTTAATGTATTTCTTATCAATTTATTTGATATTCTATCCAATAAAGTTGTACCACAAATTCATCTCAACATCTTTATTTATGCTACTTCCTTCTTCTACTTGCGATCCTTTATACTCGGCTACCATTCAGATCCATACAACATGTCATGCCTAATAGCTACTTTATAAAACTTCTCTTTTAGTTTCATCAGGAGCTTCCTATCATATGGGACTCACAATGTCGTCCTCTACTTTCGCCAACCCTCATTTATGTGATGGGTTACATCTACCTCCACATGCACCACTCTATTGTTGATGTGAGGTTGTGTAGCATCACATCTGGTTAAGAAAACCAATTCGGCTATATACCATAAAACTGTAGAAGAGATAACTAGATGCTAGGTTATGTAACATCGTGTTTATTTCAGCAAACCAAATCGGTTTTATGTTTGGAAGGTCGATGACTAAGGTGATTCACCTCCTTATAAGCCTTATAGATAAATATAGATAAATAAATAGTATTCTTTATATTGTGTTCTATCGACTTATAGAAAGAATATAATAATGTACCTTAAAAGACAATTTTGTTTCCTAGAGAGAGGACTTGAATATTTTAAAATAAGGCATTGATAATGATTAACCAATAAACATATATATTTTTATTTTACATAATCAATTTTAATTTATTCCAACAAAATCTTTTTATTACCAATTTTCTTTGTTATATAATATTTTCAAGAACACCATTGTTCTTGTTAGCGATGTTAAGCCTCTTGCCTTCCATTGGCTTAAAATTAGAGTTAGGAGATGTTGTATGTTAAATTGGAATAACTAATATTTAGATTCGAAGACTGAATGTCTTAATATTTTGTAATCTTAGCTTCTCGTTAGCTTTATCCTTAGAATGAAAACTTACTTATTTTTATCATTAGTGATCATTAATGTTTTAAACGTGTCTTATTTGATTTGTCATTTCTAAAATATATGTCATATTTCAAAATATGATGTTTTAGAAAGAAAAAAAAATATTTGACGTCAATATTCAGATAGATATACTATAATAAACAATTATATCGAATTTTAGTTTTGGAAATATAAATGATAATAAAATTATTATGTTTATAGTTATAAATATTAAAAAGAATCAAAATATTTTATAATAATCGGTAATTTAATATTTGATATTGGAGAATAAAAGAAATTTTGTTTAATATTTAATAAGACCAGGGTTTGGACCGTCCACACGATGTTGCGGAAGCCCGATATGTTGAAAAACGCAGGTCGACATGGATAAGGTTTTGGGAAAAATTTTGAGACAACTTTCAACATATT